AAATGAGACGTCTCCCAGCTCTACATGGCCTTCCTCTGCAAAGTTATAGAATTTACAAGAAAAGTCCTAAATGATTATTGTCAGCTCAAAGCTACAGAAATAAGAAGGGCTTTTCTTGTAAATTCTATAACTTTGCAGAGGAAGGCCATGTAGAGCTGGGAGACGTCTCATTTTGATCAAACATTTCCAGGCTACAATTCTGCCACGTTAAGAAAAGGTTTTGATTATTTTTCGTAGAGTTTCTGAAAAACTGGTTTTCCAGAAATCCAGGTCTTCAAGAGTCAAGGGCCCGACTCATTTTAGGCTTTTCACTAGCTCACTATCTTCTGTCGATCGATGTATGAACGAATGAAATCGGAAGGTGCCACTTGGATAGGTTCCCTCGTTAGAAACTGTAATCTACAGTTCCTAGCTATCACTGGACACACACCAGTGGTAGGAACAGAATTTATGATTTATCTTCTATACGTATAAAAGTTACGAACAAATACTAGCGAAGTTCTGAAACAAGATGTAAAAAAACTTTAGAAAAGGACACGACTTTACCACTGAAACGAGGTAGAAAAATGTGCACAATACTATCGCTTGAAAGGCATTATCACTTTGCAAAGGCCAAAGTAAAACACAATTATGTCTGCATATCGAGTCAATTGTCATCTTCAAAATGCGAGCCATCCCACCTTTTAAGGTGCTTCGTAAAAAACTTCGGGAATTTTTTAAAAATTTCGTGTCCCAGTGCAAATTTTTATGAGCTTTGACTTTCACGTTTGATTGAAAATCGATCGAAACTACTTCAGAATATCAAAATGTCACGGAATTTCTCTTTAGATACAACATGATTCAACAAAACTTTTAAAAACTGATAGAATATTCTTTGCTTTCTGGATAAGTTTTCTAGAAATTTCCTTAAGTAAGTCGCTCCAAATTCAAGATTCCAGCACTATTTTTTCTTGTGGCTCGAATATATATCATTCGATACAGAATTTAACGCTTATCCCGAACATCTACTTTAAAGTCTTCCCAGAGCACGTTTTCCGTGAAAAAAGTCAAAAAACTGAAATTCGCCTTTTTCCGAAAAATCTCAATTTTTGAAAACACTGCTATATCTCATTTCGGTCTGGCTCTGGAACCTTGAGAACGTATTTTACTTGTTCAGCAGCGAAAGCTGCATACAGAAAACCATATTTCAAGGTTCCAGTACGAACAGAAATGTTTCGGGGCTGCGCAAAGCTAAAAGACTTCAATTTTTCTGACTCGCACTCGCAAACCTATCTTCTTTTTTTCCTTAGAAAATGGGACCTTGAATTTGACGCCATCCGATCCGCCATGAAGCATAGAATAAAGATAATAATCCTTTTCGAAATTTTGTTCTTTTTTGAGATATTGAATTTTCATTAAAATATTGCGGTTTTCACCTAAAATCGCATAGGTCATTTTGAAATAACGTTTTCTTATTCGAATAACTTCAAACTATCAGATAAAAAGTAATGCTGAATCTAATGATAAGAATCTCAAGATCTGCAAAAGATTTCTGTTTCTGTTCTTCCGGAAGTGTGAATTCAAGTATCGATTGAGGCGTTTCGATGATGTTATTTAAAAAAATGTCTTTGTTTACAAAATAATAGGCAGTTTGTCATGTCTAGCTATCTCATAGATAATTATATTGGCGTTATGTTTTTCTTCAATAATTCCCACCACTGTGATGTTGATATTGTAAAGATCATTAAGGCTGAGCGATGACTATTGCTGTCTTTGTTTTTGTTATATGATTGTCTAATGATTCAACAATTTCTAATGTATTAGCCCTAGTACTACCAAGCCTATTTTAGGCGTGGCATGATGATATATTTTTATTATGTGATTTTTTCGTCATGAAACCGATATGTTTGTCCAAGTTTTCTATTCGGTTAGAGGATAAAATGATTTAGAAGTATGTTATGTATTTATTTCGAACAAGTGATACAAAAGAGTCGTTTCACACAATGCTCATTACAAACGGGTTCGGAAAATTTGTAACACTTGTCCAGAGTCTTTTTGTCTTTGGTACGGTCACAAAGCGAACATTGTTTTCTTTTTAAGTTCATGGAGGTTTCATTTAATTCTTGTGATGTTTTCTCCACCTTAGGATAATCCATAACAGCTAATGCACTTTGAACATCTTTGTGCACGAACATCAAGAAGACCAGCCGCTAAACTTATTCCTAATTCTTCAAGAAATGAGTGACGCTTGTATTTTTTATTCTTGTTCCAATCTGGATTCTTTGCCTTCCATATGATCAGAGCATTTAGAGCACTAATGTCTAACATATTATAAAAGACACAGAGAGACCATCGTTTTGTGTCTCTTCTTGCGGAATATTTATGGCACATCTAATCAACAGTATCGACAGCACCCTTGGTTTTATTATAATCCAAGATAATGTGTGGCTTCCCATTTGTTGAGTCTACTTTGTGGTCATGATGTTTCGATGAGAGCAACAAAACAGCTTTATTTATCTTTGGAACGTATGAAACTAGTGTGGGATTATCGTTGAAACCGAACATTGCAGAGCCAACTGGGCGATTTTTATTTGAGAGAAATTCTACGGGTATTTCGGGCTTATTTCTGCGTAATGTTCCTATCAAGGTAATATTGTGAACTTTCAATTGTTTTGCTAGTGGAATACTAGTAAAGAAATTGTCCATTGTAACGTTCCTACCAGAACCAAACAGTGGTTCCGTTAGTTGTAAAACTATGTTGACACCTATATTCTTTTGTCTATCTTGACCAGGTTGTCGTCCAGTATAAGGGACTGCATCAAATACATAGTAAGAATCGGCATCAACACATAACCAAAGCTTTATTCCATATTTATCAGGTTTTTTGGGGATAAATTGACAAAAAGGACATTTTCCTTGTAATCCAACCAACTGTTGATCAGTTGTCACAAAATATCCCACTGAATAACATTTGTACAAATTTTTTTGGAAGTCCCACTATATTTCACGAATTGCAGCAAATTTATCTGTATTTTTCCTTTCCTCCCTTGTTGTCTTGTCATCGAATCTAGGACAGGAAGCTATTGTTTCAAATCGATCGAAAAATGCTAAATACTCTTTGAACCAGAAAAAATACCACAATATTTTTATTAAATTTCAGTTTTCTACAGTGGGTTCATTTTTGACCCCGCTTGGTAGTACTAGGGTTAATATGTAATTGATCGAAACGCTCTTCTTTTTGAGCTACATCAATAAATTCTAATGGCGTTTTCGGTTCAGTACGAGCTATTTCTTTATGTAGTGATAATCTTAAACCTTTTATTAAATAAATTAATTTTGAACCATGTGACGTATTACTATCCCTTGTCTCACATAAACCCCCTCCCAGGATAAACCTTCTATACTGGTTTCGCATGTCGTACTTTTTTTGATGAAAAACTGCCCTACCCTTCCTTAAAGGGTGTTTTTCAAAAACTTTCGCTCTACACTAGCCTTCTGTTCTGGCGGGTGTGTGTGTGATAATTGTTATGTGCAGGCGAAAGCAATTCATACGTAGGACTCATGAAACCTACAAGAATAAGCGTATTTGAAACGATCAGTCATAATGAAATAATCACAGTTTTTCTGCCCAAGATGAATTAATGCTTCTTACCTTGTAGGATTTCTGGATACAGCGACATTACCGCGAACACTCGTATAGTGGAAAAGAAGAATAAATGAGCCTGGTTTTGCATTTTGTATATCATGTTTTGAAACCTGGGCGAAGTTATGTAGTTAATAGTCATTATGTGATACAATTAGAGGATATAGCGACATTACCGCGAAGACTTCTTTATTGGAAAAGACGAATAAAACGGCCGGTTTTGTATTTTGTACATCATGTTTTCAAACTTAACTGAAGTTATGTGTTGACTATCCTCCCGCGACATGATATACAAAATACAAAACCAGGCTCATTTACTCTTCTTTTCCAATAAACGGGTCTTCGCGGTAACGTCGTTCGCGGAAATGTCGTGTCACGGAATTTCTGAATATAATAGTTACGTATATAGATTCATTTTTGGGATTTTTTTATGGTCTTTGTTATTTAGACCATGATTTTTTGTTAAGGCTTGAATAATTTTGAACACAAGGTTGAGAGGGCTTGTAGAATGCATACCGAGCTGAGTCCAGCATTTTATAGCGTTCTCCATATTAGATGGTGCATCGAGCGTAAACAAGCCTGAAATATCATTTTTTATCCATATCCACTGCTAGACAGAGGCCATTTTGTTAAAACAGAAGTCTGTCATATCATATTCAACCTTTCAGGAAACAAAATTCTGCGAAGAATTCAGCAGAACTTTAATAGAATTCGATAGTTCTTGATAGAGATATAATCGTCTATAACTTGCTCGTATTAACAATAAAGGTTCGATGAGACTTTTATTAAATTGACTGAATTATAACATGATCCTAATACTAATTGGCAAAAGATAAATCTATAGCACTTTTCTCTTCTCTAAATATAAAACCCCCAGAATTCAAACGCTGCACGCTTATGTATTGACAGTGACATGTACACCATTTATTGAGAGAGAGAGAGATTGAGAGAGAGAGTTATCTCTCGGATATTGTGTTACAAATAAAATTCTTATGATGGTTTTAAATTTTAAGTAGAATTCTGGAACAGAAAAAGGATCAAGTCTTCTTTCTTTGTTTCTGAACTATCAACGTTTAAGTCATTAAAGACATCCCCTCAGAAATTATCTCCGACACCCTACATCGGATCTCGACGAAACTTTCCAAAAATGTTAGGCACAATGAGTTACGGAAATGAAAAAAATTTTTTTGTCTGCAAATCTTACCGTTCAGGAATTTTCCAGAGATCAAGGTTCAAAAAGGGCCCTAAAGTGTGTCCCAAGACTTTTGAATTTACTTCAAGCTGGAGAGCTCGGGTTTGTTTTATTTTAAACTAGACACCTAACTGCATGGACTGACAGAAGCTGACTTTTTAATTAAGTCTTTATTGATCCTTAAACAATTGAATGGCATTACTAACACGCCATAGGATTCTATAAAATATTTATTACGTATTCCGATAACAACTAATAACGTGAATAGATACATAAAGTCTACAGAATTTTGAAGTCTGAAAACTGAGCGTTTTAAAGTTGCTGGAAGCTGAGGAAAAAATCGAACACTACGTATAACTTTTAATCAAGGCTAACTGCACGCACCATCACAGATATCATTTTCGTCGTTGTGACAGACGGTAGGATCCAGTGGCACAGTGGGCAACAACGTGGAAATTAGGTGGAAAAATGAAAGTTAGATTTTTTGAAATTTGAATAGCAGGTCATATACTTCAGCAAAAGCACTATCTCTTTGCCACTGGAACTTTTTTTCCAAGTACCAAGCTTAGTGGGAAAATCACAAAGAAAGGCTGGATCGAAAACAATGGTGCTTTTGGAAAGCTGGATCTTATGCAAAACCAAAATAAGCTTGTAGACAAATAACCACATATTCGGAATCAGCGGCAAACTCTCCATCGATTGCTAAAAAACCTTCCTAATTTTAGACTTTCTGAGCTGAAAAAAAAGCATATAACATTTTTATAGCGAGTTGTCCTAAGAGAGGAGTTTAGTAAAATATGTGCCTTAGTCACATCCAAGCTCTAATTTTGATGAAATTTTCACCGAATGTTCTTCTATATATTAGCTGTTAACAATGTAAGCACAAATTAGCACAAACACTCCTTTGTCAAATTATAGGTTTTCCCAAAACCCTTGGTTTTCCAAGTAAAATCTATTTTTCTCAGCTGAGAAAAACTTTTATTTAAAACTAATGTGATATTTGGAATTAGCATCAAAAACTGCATCAAATGATGTATAATGTGAAACATTTTTCTACAGAAAATTTTCGATTAAACTGAATCCTAAAAGCATGACTGCAGCAAATTTTGCATGGGTATTTGAATGTTCGTTTTAGCAGCGGGACGAAAGTCTATAAACACATGTTTTATAGATTTTCGGATATGCTCTTGCTAATGGTGAGATTTTCGACATCCAAAAATATTTTATATGGATTTTCTAGAGATCCTGTCTTCCGAAAACCCAGAAACAATTATTTTTAGATTTCGAAAATCTCACCATTTGGAAGAGCATATTCGAAGACCTATAAAAAGTGTATTTTCAGACTCACCTACCACTTCTATAGCATATGCCCATGTGCCTAGTCAAAATTGTCTACGATGAGTGGAGTATTATTATCACTAGTTTTCGATGCTGATATTAATACGTAAAGCTCGTAATGTTTTGAAACATAAGGAAAAAATAACACTTTTGTAATACAACGTTATTCATTTGTACGTGATAGTTCGGACGACCTTGGTTAGGTTATCCTCTACTATTTATAATTCCACACATTTGGATTGTTATTAAGATTATGGAGATTATGCTTTTATTCGAAAAAAGAGAAAAGAATAATTATAGCGCTGCCCAGTCAGTAACCTATATGTTTTGAAAATTTGTTTTAATGTGATATTAGCTTAAAACATCGCGCGAAACTATGTGTGTTTACAAAAATTTTACCGCGAGAAATTCGTTTTAAAACAGCGCGAGAATCGCGTTTCAGGCAATTATAGGTTGCGTTATCATTTTTATCATTTATTTAAACAATTATTAAGTTGAGTATTTTAGAAAACACAAAACATCTACAACAAATTAAAACTTTCTTTATACAAAACACAATAATCCAAAAATGGAAAAAGGAAAAAGAACGGACATTGATATATCATTGACCAATACACTCTTCAGATGGATAGACAGTTCTGTCATACACATGATTTGACTTCAGAGACATCGCTGGATTCAACGGCCGATTTCTAAAAAGAGAAGAACTAGCGAAATGAAAATGGCTGAAAGCAAATTTTTTGAAAAAAGCTTCCTGAACATCAAAGACTTTTAATCATCAAGTATAAGAAATGAAATTCCTAATAATTCACGAGCTATGAAGACCATAAAGACAAATCGAAAGAGGAGATTAGGGCTAAAAATTTTTGGTTATGGTGCGATACAGCTGTATCAGTTCTGCCTTTTCTATTACTCTATAATAATCTTCGGAGTTTAAACGTTGGTGTTATCGTGTTCTGTTTTTTTCAACCTATAAACAAAATACACACTGTACGCCAAGAAATTACGTCGTTATTGCGTAGAAGGCTGAGTTCAGGATCCACAGTGGGCAACCACATGGAAATTAGACGAAAAAACGAAAGTGAGATTTTTGGAAATTCAGATAATGTCACATAGACAGTATTCAATGGCCGATTTAGTGGTGAAAAAATTTTGATCCACATGCTTATGATGGCGAAGAAAATAAAGTTTCAAT